GATAGATAGATAGATAGATAGTCTGTTAACTCGCTGCTTATTGTGTTAGTAGAATATTAGTTGGCTCTTGTCTCAGTCATTATAAAGCACTTATATTAAAGGCTTATTCTACAACTACTGGGCCATTAAGAGTTGTCCCTCAGTAACTTCCTCATTACTGCTTATTGATAGTAAGAAAGGAAGCTCTGTAAACAGCAGACTATACACTGAAACCATAAATATACGTCAAAATATTTAGGCTGTGGTGGATTTCAAAGGTTAACAAACAGTTCAAAAACATAAATAAATTATTATAATTATTATTACATATTACATATATTGTTTTATCTATTATTGCTTATTCTGTATATTGTTATTGATGGTGCTCTGGTTAGTGTTTGATTCCTGGTGTTTTAAATCACTGTGTAAACCAGATTTTAAAAGAAACTATATAAATAAAGTTTATTATCATGAAGAACCTTCAGTAACATCACTGATAAAATCACTCAATGCTCCTTTAGTGTGAAGAGGATTTCAGAAACCTCCCAGCAGGTGGCGATATGAGCTGATAAACACTGATATTAAACAGTTTAGTTCTTCATTTACATTCACAATCATGATATGACTGTAAAGGAGAGAAAGAGCTGATCTAAACTGAAAATGTGTTTTTTCTTTTACCTTCAGTGGAAGAGAAAGAACGACTCATTCACAATGAATCAAACCTTCGAAACCTGTGGTCACATCAGTCTGCTCTTGGATTAAAGCACTTCATCAATCATCAGCCTCACCTTTCTGGACTTTGTCACAGAGCAGGTAGACCTCCTCTCCTCCGCTCACGCAGCCAGCGGTTCGATCCATCCTCACGATCTTCAGGTTGGAGGCGTTGGGAGCCTCTGAGGGAACAAAGAGAGACACAGCAGGTCGGTCAGTGGACGCTGTTCAACTCCACATCTTAATCTTATGTTTAAATTTGTCCTCATCAACCTCTAGAAGTTCTTTAAGGACTCCTGGAACCTTCTCAAGGATCTGAAGAAGTTCTACCAGGGTTCCCACTCTTAAAGAAATCATTTTCCAGAAGTTTTCTTGACACTACAGGACAGCACTCGCTCAAAAACTTGTCAATACTAAACAACACAATTATTTAATGACGCAGGTTAATGATGAAGTGTCTCAGGTTCATTACAGATAGGAGGTCAGAGTTTATGACACACACTGCATTTATTCGCTTTAGCGGAAAGTGTTTTTTTTAACACTTAACATCACTGTGAGTGTTTTTATGAACTACGATAACAAGACATTTTTCCACTGTGCTTTTTATGAGAATTCTGCTTCAGAACAAATAGACTCAACTCTAAAAGTTTGCTCCACGTCTGGTTAACCTGCTCTGAAGTGTCATACTGCAGGTTCCCACCAACGGTCGAGTTTCAAACTAAATATGTAGGACAACAGAGATTATTTCCAGGATACTTGGTCATTTTAATCAATTTCCAGGTGTTTCTATGACAGGAAAACTAGTCTCCAGAAAGAAGTTTTCCAGAAAGTGCAGGAATCAAACTGTGACCTTTAAACCTTTAAGTCTGGTCAGATCTCCTTCCTGCTCTCCAGAGGACGAACCCTTTACATTTTAAAGACTAATTAATGACCTTTCCTGTAGACTGGTCAGTATATGTTCAGTAAATATCAGTATATTTGTTTCAGACTGTGCCTGTAATGAACGATGCAGCATCTAACTGAACAGAGAAAATCTTTTCACAAAACATTCAGTAAAAAGTGGAAGCAGGAGATTCAACAAACAGAAATCTCCAGTTTGAGTATGAATCTAAAGTGAAAGTTCAGAAGGATCCTGAAGTGCTGAGCGGGTTTCAGTCCTCTGAGAGGAAGCTGCAGCGTACGGAAACCAAACCAGCAGGAAGAGGGAAATGAAACCAGGCGGCCTGACACGACTTCACAATAATCCTCGTCGAGATAGAGTCGACTGCAGAGGGTGTGATAGCAGAGCTCAACAACCAGAGCTACAGTTGCAGAAAACCCAGAGTGGAAACTAACACCATCACCGTTCTCATGCTCTCTGACGGCTTTACAGGGGTACCGGACAAAATGAGACACAGTCACCGTCTAATGCAACAGCACACTGACTGAGGCCATTGGAAACTCACAGATGCTGGTTGAGTGTACAGATTCATTCAGTGCAACAAACATGTGACTGGACTGTTATACCAGCCATCATGGTTCAGTAAGCAGCACTGGTTCATCACAGTCCTTTGGATCAGAGTTCAGCTCACAGCAGACATTTTAAAACTTATGTCCTCTAATGAAACACAATCAGAACCATAAAATACTGAGCAGAGTTGCTTAAAAAGCTTCTACATAAAGTATTTTACGATACAAATATTTAGGGCTGATCCCTAACAGTCGACTGAACCGTCTCGTCTTTCCATCAACTGCATTCAGGAGCTGCTCCTCGTCAACGAGACCCAAGTATCAGAGGATTGTTGCAATATGGACCTTTTCTCTTTTAAAGGGGGGGGAAGTCTCTTACCGCTGGACTGCTGCATATGCTAACTGTACTAGCTGCTATTAACTAGTAAGCGGTCCTATTAGCTGTCTGTACCCGGACTGGAAGCTGGAAGGCCGGGGGGAGACTAGCGTCTAGACTAGGAGCAGGGACCCAGCAGGGAATACTGCCGGGGAGCAACATGCTGGTTCAGACATCAGAGTCAAATATGAAACTGAGCGGGGAAATGAAACTTGGTTCATGTTTCATTGTGGTTTTATATATTCTAAATCAATAAAACAGATTTTACTCTCAGGTAGTGCCCACACAGCTGGCAGAGTTGTAAATATCAACTCATTTCAGTTGCACCGTTTGAACCCGTCATAGACGGACTTTAAACCAGTTCCAGCAGTAAATGAGCGAGATGGATGTGTAACGGGGTTCAGACTCACTGCTGTCGTAGATCGGTTCGGACACAACGGGCTCGAGTCTTCTGGAGAACCCTCCGTCGCTGTCAGGGAGGAACGCTGTGAACATGAGCCGCACCACACTGAGGTCCATGTCTTTAGCCTGAAGAGCCGCTGCACTGCTGATCACACTGCGCTGGTGGTCTGAAGGCAGAGAAAGAGACAGACATACTTTATTGATTTTAAAACAACATGAGAAACAATAATATTAAGACTGGAACAGAAAATAAAGGAAATGGTGGACAGTTACTCAGATAAGATGACAGACACCCAAATCATCATCAAGTCTCAAAAAATGTTAAAGAGCAGAGACGATAATATTTAACAGATACAATCTCACTTAATTTTCTAAAACTTTCCCCAGATTTTTTAAAAATGCCTCATTAACAAAAATGTGTCCTTTTAAGGTCTGAAACTTTAACGGGTCCTCACAAAGATACAGGTACAAGGACGGACACACACACACACACACACACACTGAGCACTGACCGGTGAGTTCTCGGGGGACGCGGACTTCCCCCTGCAGGGCGTCGATCTCGTGGTGGATGGAGACTCCACAGTTGTACCCCATCCTGAAGGCCTCGATCATCCTCTCCTCCAGAGTCTTCGCCACGTTCTTCTTCGTCACATGAAGGATGCCCAGGTTTGGAAAACTGACAAAATAAACACACCTGTGAGCCTCACACCTGACAGCTCTACTGGTTTACTGGGTCTGTAGTGGTTTACTGGGTCTGGACTGGTTTACTGCACTGTGTGAGGCCTGCAGACCTGATGGTGGAGTCTTTGGGCTGGAGGTCGGCGATGCAGATCCCTTTGTCGCACTGTTTTCCCACCAGACTGTGAGCGTGAAGCTGAGGGATGGGGGTCAGCGCCGTCACCAGCTGGACCACCACCCGGGCCAGACCCTGGTAGTTACTGATCTGAAACACACACACACACACACACACACACACAATGAATCTCATGAGAATAGTAAAAAAAATAGATGATAAATATTAAAAAAAAGATTAATAGAAGATACAACATTTCAGAGTATTGCATTTCAGAGAAGGTCGGTTGCACAAGAGTCCTATTAAGGCTACGCCCATTGATGACATCACCATGACATCACTCTGTCAGTTCATGACTGATTTAACTCCTGATAAGGAAAAAGGAAAAATCTCCTCACAAGCATAGATGTTACCATTGTTACCATATGAGCTTAATAAAATCACATATCTACTATCATACAGGTACATTTTATAAAAACGTCCCCAGTTTTCTAAAAGAAACATTCTCACTTTACAAAACAATTTCCTCACTTTACAAATGTATCTTCACTTCCTCAAAACGTCTCCAGTTTTCAAAAAAAATTATATATATTATATAATAGTGTCCGTGTTCTGTGGTCCATCTGCAACACAAATTAACTAAATGTGTCCACATAACAAGTGGGCCGAGACCCTCCTTTTCAGAGGGTTTTAGTCTAGTTGTCCAGTTTTATTGAACCACAGAGGTCAAGAGGTTTGACTTTATGAGAGCAGAAGGCTTCAAACAGGAAAAGTATCTCTGACAGTGATGAAAGATCAGAACTCCCAACGGCAAAACTCCCAAATAATGAAATCAAAGTCAAACTAAATTAATCAGTTCCAACAGTAAAACAGCAGAAGACATGAACACATCCTCTCACAATAATGTGCAGTAGTGAATTATATCATTTACTTAACTTGTAAACTTCTGGTACCGTAGTGCTTTACTTAAATACATTTCAGAGGGAAATATTGTACTAACTGGAGAATCAATAGGAGAGCTCCTGAAAAAAGTTTTATCTCGTAGCAGACGATAAGAATTTATATACATGTTATCATGTGTCATCTGCCGCACACTGTCTAGAAATAAATGAAGATCAGTTCAAAGGGCACATTCAGTGAAGGAAGTCTGGCGTGGAAACTCTGAACTACGGGATGAATGATGAGATAAACCTCTGTCAGGTCACAGAGGTTAGATCGGACTCATATTGAAGCTGTTTGGAGTTTTTGGGGTTTCTCAGTTTTCTCTGCTGTGGTTCAGAAACACTTTCTCCTGACAGAGATGAGTCAAAGTGTTCTTCCATCACAGTGACACCAGACATCATCAGCAGAGACACTCACAAACTCCACTCAGAAATACTGACTTTACTAAAGAGAGAGGACACGAACATGTGTTTTTATCTTTAGCCCAAAAAACGTGTTACAGACACAGACAGGTGTCATCAACATTAACCAGCAACAGTTATGATAATCTGCAAATCATTATTCATCTTTTGGAATTCAGGGAACAGAAAAACAACACGGAGTGCTCAGAGAAACACCAGCCTTCAGCCAAAGGTTCATATATTCATGTTAAAATCACATTTCTACTGTCAGTTAATTTACAAAAATCTCCTTTCTCGTTTGCAGAAGATAAACAAGCATTATTCATCTTTTAGTGAATTCAGGAGCCTGAAAAGCAGCACTGACTGCTCAGACAAACACCAGCCTTCAGCCAAAAATTACTGAATTTAACTCCCAACTGTGAAATTATTTCTCGCATCTATTCCCAAATTAATTTGTCAGTGATAAAAGCTGAATATTTTAAAACCCGTTGTTATAAAATGAGTCATTGCTGAAAACACAGATTTTTCACAATCTGCTCATTTAACACACAAGTCATTGTTACTGGTAATTCCCTCGTTTTCCAAATTAAAGCTCAGCCGACCACAGCTTCCACTGAAGGACGTGTTCAGCTTTATAAATACAGTCTCAAACAATGATTCCAGATCAGTCCGGTTTGGTTAATGTTTGCCAGATTCAAACAGCTTGAATTCAGTTCCTGTCCTGAAACTTCAGCTGCAACAAATGAAACTTACAAACAGAAAATGAATGAGGAAGAAGACAAAAACACTGACTATAGCTGGAGGTTCTATAATTGGCTCCAAACCAGACTTCAATATTTCCTTTTACATTTATTGAAAAACAGGAAATTTGACATTTGATTCGAGTCTATTTTGATCATTTAAAATCTCTCAGCATTGTTTTCTTGTTCCTGGTTTACTTTCTTTTCTTTTGTGTGCTCTGAAATGTCTCCACCCGCTGATTTTCATATTATCTCTCGTTTCATTGTGTTGTTACTGAGGTGTTTAACATAAAGGAAATCAGACTGTAAAAACACAGTTCCTGTTTCTGCTGTGTGTGTGTGTGTGTGTGTGTGTGTGTGTGTGTATCATGTCACTGCAGGTATTTGCCTGCAGGGACGTTGCAACCGCCACAGTAAATAAACCCGAGCCCACTTCCTCTTCCCGGTTCAGCCGGCCAATCAAAGCGCTCCGGCAGACAGAGGCAGTTCCTAGAAACACACCGAGCGCTGCTGTTCAATGGTTTCCTGGCCTCGCACTAAATAATTGTAATGTTTGGCACGCGCAGCAGGTTGAAAGAGTCGGGTGGAGTTAGCAGCAGGAGGTGTTAGTATCTGTCACTGATCAAATACTATATCTGATTGATCCTGATGCACTGAAACACAAACTGGCTACAGATATCACAGAGCTGTAGGTGATAGGCTACAGGAGCAAATATGAAGAATATGTATGATCATAAATCACACCACAACCTGTATATGTCAGTTTAAATCTATTTTATTTATGGATCCTAAAATCGAGCCTTACAATCTGTACAGAAAACAGCATCCTCTATCCTTAAAGCCACGTTTCAGATAAAGAAAAACTCCTAAAAGAACTTTTAAACCCGTCCTTCCCCTTCCATAAATGTGTTCTTTTGAGCTGTAAAGTGAATTATATGACTGTACTGTGATGAAATCTGTTAATGTCGCAAAATGTATGTCCAATTAAGTCCAGCGCTGACACAGAGTAGTTAGTCTGTGAAACCGCTGCGCTCATTTTCAAATGTATCCCGATGGAGACGCTCATTCACAGGAGGTTATGTTAGCTGTTGCTAACCGTCTACGCAGTGTGTTTATATTGTTGCGCAGTGGTTCGGACTTTAGACGCTGTAGAAGCACCGGACTGCGATCTTTACCTTGATCCCCCACAGACACACACAAATACATACAGGAGAGTTAGCCTCTCTGAGCGTTTAGCTTAACTACAAACAGGTAGCTCACAGAAACCTTTACAAACAGCGTGAATGTGCTTCTAGTGCTCCAGCAGACTCTCACTGCCTCTGTCACTTTCAAGGCCACGCCCCATAAAGTCACTGTCCTTTGCAGGTCTCTGATGCATTTTTAAAATTTGCTGAGAGGGAGGGAGCAGAACTCAAGGGTGTAGTTACACTTTAATTGTTGTGTTGTCTTCTTGTGTTGCATTTTCATAACTCTTTTCGAACCCATATCCTTCTGGTTTTATTGTTGTTTGTAGAACATACAGCAGTAACAGCTCATCAATAACTTTATCCTTTTCCCCATTAAGCTGCCAACAGCCTATATTGTCTATGGTTTTAAGGGGGAGGGTAGTGTTTGCAGCAACTACAACTGAAGACTACACTGTACAACCTTTAAACATAGATATGTTCTCTCCGGTTGTGATTTATATTTTAGAGATTTGGGTTTTTGGTGAATCTTCCTCCAAAAGTCTTACAAACTTTCCTTGCAAGAGCAGAGTACAGCGCATGAACCTCTTCACTAGGTGTTTGCAGAACATGTTTGTGAAATAAACAAACTCCAGGGCAAGGTTCAAGGAGCAGTTAGATTTTTAGAAAGTGACAAAAAACAAGACTATTTGGGAAACGACCCTTGGACCTCTGAAACTGCCTCAAACACTTTTGTACAATTTAAAAACCTCAGGATTCAGAGAGGAAAAATAGACACTGATTTCTTTGCTTTTCTGGAAAGAAAAAGTATGTGTGTGTGTTTTTCGTTTGTCT